AGTCAAGTGCTTTAGCCACTAAGCTACCAGAGCTCCTGATAATATCCTATACTTGGTCCTTCTGATTGCCTGTGTTGTTGCATTTTTTTGAAGTGCTCTCTTATTACCATCACCACCACCACCACCACCCCCGGTGTATAGAAATGAGTATTTATTTAATGTTCTTGCCTCATTTGGAATACTCTCTTGCATGATACTTATAGAGCTGGTCTGGTGGTGGGAAATTCCCAGAGCTGCTGTTTGTTTGAGAATGTCTTGATATCCTCCTTATTTTTTGAATGACAGCATTGCTGGGTAAAGAATTCTTAGTTGTTAATTGTTTTCTTTCAGTATTTTATATATGTTGCCTCATTATCTTCTTGGCTGTAGAGTCTGGGTAGAAATCCACACTGATTGTTATGAAGGGCCCTTGGAATGTTATAGTGCATTTTTCTCTTGCTGCTTTAAGAATTCTTTGCTTATTTTTGGTTTTTAAGAATTTTATTAGGCTATGGTGTGGAGTTGATTTTTGTGTCTCTTCTAACTGTTTTTTGCAGACTTGGTTCTCTGTACAAATCAGAGAATTCTCCCCGATTATCTCTTGGAGATTCTTTATATGCCTTTATTGTTGTCCTGATATTCTGGAATTCCAATAATTCTAATGCTAGATTTCTTAATTGAATCCCATATTTCCTTTTGGGTTTGTTTGTTTTCTTTGTTTCTCTCATTTCTCTTGAAACTTGATGTTATTTTATCTTCTGGTTCATTTACTCTGTCTTCCATCCGTTTGACTCTATTGCTGAGTATTTCTCTTACTATTTCTAACCCAGTTGTTTTATTCTTTAGTTCCAGGAGTTCTCTCTCTCTCACTGTTTATATTTTCCACCTTGATTATCTTATTTTGTTTCTTAATTTTTTCCTGATCTCTGCTAGTTTGTTTTCAGTATGCTTTTTGCTTCCTTTAAACATATCTGGCAAACTAGTCTGGAAATTATAAATTATTTGTACTATTCTGGCCTCTGTAGGAGAAATTTCCTCTTCTCTTTATTTTGCTTTTGACTGGTCCTTCCTTCATGATTTTATGTGTTTTACTATTTTTTGTTGCACTTGGGCCATTTTGTTACCTTTGTTTTTTTACTTGAAATTTTGTATTCTTACAAAACTCAAAAGCATTTGGGAAAGAAAAAGGGGGGGGACCAGGTTTGCTGGTCTGATAGAACCTGGTGGAACCACTGAGACTATGGCCCCTGGCTGCCCTTCAGGTTTGGAAATTGAACCCACACCTGTAGTTTTCAGCCAAGGAAAAGACAAGACATAGGAGTTGAACATTTACCTGAGGTAAATACACTCCTTGGAGAGAACAATCATGGGAGAAAGAAGGGCTGTTTACGCACAGGGAGACAGCTCAGGGGGCAAGAGTGCATGGAGGGATGGACACAGGGAAGAGGTAACTGTCGGGAAGAAGTGGGAAGGGAGCTGTTGCATTGTGGTGAATTGTGGTCAATGTCATGAGACAAAGTGTATGTGAACTGCTGTATAGAAGTGAATTTGCTATGTAAATTTTCACCTAAATCACAATAAAAATTAATAGATAGATAGATAAAATAAATAAAAAATTTAAAAAATTTTGTATTCTTATTTATGTGGGAAATTTTTCTGATAGGACACCCTGGTGGTGCAGGGCCAGTCACCCAGCTGCCAACCAAGAGGCCAGGGCCCATGCCCACCAGGTGCTCCATGAGACAATGATGCAGCAGCCTGCCTCTGCAAAGACTCCCAGCCCTGGGAACCCAGTGGGGCAGCTCCACTGAACTTCACAGGGTCACTAGGAGTGAATTGACCCAGCAGCAATGGGGTTGATCTTCTTCTGAGAACCACTAGAGGACACTCTTATCCTTAGGTTCTTTTCAGTGCTGATTCAGGAGTTCTGGATTCTTAATCTCTGGAATTCAATAGGTATGCACAGGAGGGGATATTTAACTATTCGCAGATGCTGACTTAAGTGTTGGGGCTCAGCTTTCCTGTGGAAAAGGTAGGGGGCTCTCTATCTTTGCTTCATGGATGCCCTTGCCCAAGCTTTTATATAGTGTCCCAGTGTGGGCTGTTTTCCCTCTTTGTCACTCCATCAGTCTAAAGTATTCCCCTGCTGCCCTTACTGTTCTTCCTAGTCCTAGTGCCCCTCCATCTTGGTTCTCAGTGAGATTCAGCGTACTCTGTCATAGCACCATTGTTCCTATTCACCTCTTCACAATTGCACAGCCCATAAACTCCCAAGACCCCTCTGGTTATAGCTTCCTCAGATTAGCTACTTTTCTGTGTTCCTTGTTTGGGGTGTTACTCAGCCTTATCTCAAAATGGCTGTGATGAGCAAGCACTCCTGATGTTAGCAGATAGGTTTCTTGTAGCTTCTGTGCTGTCCTCATTTCTTCTCTCCCTCACTTCTGGACTCACTCCAACTCTCTAATACCTCAGGTGCTGTCCAGAGTTCTGAGATCTCAATCTGCACTTGTTTTTATTCATTGTGTCCTGTGGGTTAATTGCTAGAGGAGTAAGTGGGAGCCTCCATCCACCTATCTTGCTCTGCCTCCTACTCCTCTGTCCTTTTGATGTGTTCCCTTCATATTTTGAGTACTCACATTTTGATGTAGGAAGATATTACAAAGTCATCTTGAATTTCCCCTGTCTCAGCCTTATAATCAGCCATTTTTCTAGGAAGCCTAATTTATTTTAGAAATCAAGATCTGGGTATTAGCTTATGTTCATTGCCGCTGTGTCTTGTTGTTTCTGAGTCCTCTCATACAAACCCTTAGGTCTATCTATATTTCTCTATGTATCCAGAGAAAGAACACAAGTGGACTGTGAGTTCACACTTATACTTCCAATTACAATCTAACACTACAGGGTACATTTTAGTCTTTTTCCTATGTGTATTTGTAATTCCCTCTGCAGTAGTAGAAATCATGACCCCTTTATCATCATTATACTTATTGGTTTGTTCAAGTTTAGGATGTTTCAGAATTGATATTCCTCGCCACTATCAAATGCAAACACAATCACTAGAGTTTATTGTTTTTATTTACAGGTTTGTTGTTTAGATGAACATGCAATAAAATACATTAAGTATTAACTGTCCAGTTTGATGGATTTTGATAAATACATAGCCATGTCAATATATAGAACATTTCCATTACCCTAGAAAAATTTCCTGATGTCTCTTCCCAGTCAGTTTCTTCCTGCTCCCTAAACGTTTTCCTGATTTTTTTCCACCAAATCTTTTTGAAAATGATTCTGTCATTTTATACTCACCAGCATTGTATTACAATTGCAATTACTCCATATCTTGGCCAGCGTATACCATTAAGTCTTTAATTTTAACCATTGTAATAGGTGTGTTACAGTATCTCACTGAGGGTTTAATTTGCATTTCTACAGTGACTAATCATATTGAGCATTTTTTCATGTGTTTATTGCCCATTCATACATCTTCCTTTGTAAAACATCTACCCAAATCTTTTGCCCATTTTTTAAAAAAATATATCATGGTAAAGTATATATACAACAATACATTTGCCATTTAAACCATTTATACATGTACAGTTCAGTGACTAATTATGTTCACTGTGTTGTGCAACCATCATCACTATCCATTTCCATTTTCTTCATCACCCTTACCAGAGATTCAGTCCCTCTTAAACAATAAGTGCCCAATGCCCCCTCCTACCCATTCCTGAAAACTTCTAATAAACTTTGGTCCCTAGATATTTGCCTATTCTAGGTATTTCATATAGGAGAGATCATACAACATATGTTCTTTTATGCCTTAATGCCTTTTATGCCTTACTTATTTCATTCAGCATAAAATTTTCAAGATTCATCCATGTCATATCTTGTATCAGAATTTCATTTTTCTTATGGCTTGAACAAATAACTCCATTGTATGTATATGTCACATTTTGTTTATACATTCATTTACTCTTAAAGGACAGTTTTGCTGCATATACTATTCCTGGTTGACAATTTTTTCTTTGAACACTTTAGACATGTCATTCTGTTGCCTTCCCCAAGGTTTCTGAGGAGAAATCAATACTCGATATTATTGGAATCCGTTATGTGTAACTGTTTCCTTCCCTCTTGCTGCTTTCAGGATACTCTTTTTTATCTTTGGTTTTTGAGTTTGATTATAATTTGTTTGGTGTGGATCTCTCTGGGTTTATCCTGCTAGAAGTCCGTTGAGCTCTTTGGATTTGTAAAGTCGTATTCTCTTATCAAATCTGTCTCCCATGCAGTGGACAGCACCTGAACTCTCCAATCATTTCCTTTCTGCCTTTCATTTGTTGCTTCATTAAAAAAAGTGAAAGGCAGAAATAATTCAAGAGTCAGCCAGGGATTTGGATAAGAGTTTAATATATAGATTTTCGGGCTCCTTGCTTTGCTGTTCCCTCCTTAACACCTTCCAGACGTTGTAGTCACCCCAAACTCCATTCTGTATATGATTGCTTTAGTCAGGAAGACAGCAACTTTCTGCCTGAATTCCATCCCCACCCCCATGCTCCAGAGAATGGAATTCCCTCAACTTAAACAGGCCACAGGAACACAAATGACAATCACACCCTCTGCTCTTTTTCTCATTTAAATGTCAACTTCTCTCTAGCTTTCTGTCTGTAGTCCATTTCCAGTTCAAAATAACAGTTTTTTAAAATTTTACCCAGTTTGTAATCATTATTTGCTGACAGAGTAAGCCAAAACAAGATAATCTGCTACTAGTGGGAGCAGAACTACTCCCCTTCTATATTATTTTGAAGCAAATCCTGGACACAATGTTATGTCTGAGAATATTTCAGTATGTATCTCTAAAAGAAGTGGACTCTTTGAAACCACATAACTATAATACTGTTATCATACCTAAAAAAATTCCAAGGTATCATTAAATATCTAGTCAGTATTTAACTGTATCATGGAAACTTTAAAATTTCAATTGATAGTTCATGGTAATTAAAATAATATTTTTTCCCTACATTCAGGTTCGTGACAATAAAAAATTAAAAGTGAATGCTGTTATTGCTCCCGGTATTTCATTTGCAGACAAAGCACCTGCAAGGTCTCTGAATGAGCTAAAGTAAGTCTTGAAAATACTTCTAGAAATAATCTGTTGCTTTGACTATTGAATAATTTTTGACCTCTTAAATATATCTTAACTATCTTTATGTCACATACATATGTTTGTTATAGGCTCTATTATTTCCTTATAGGATTTCTACTTAAGTCTAAAATGAGAAAAAATCTAGGCACAGGAATAGATGATGATACATATACTATGTGATGAAGATGATGTTTCACATCACTGGAGCAACAGAGAACTATTCAACAAAAGATGCTAAAGTAGTTGGTTAGCTCTTAGGAAAAATGGTATATCATCACTTCATAATTCAAAAATAAATCCAGAAGGACCAAATGTCACCTTGCAATTATAAAGTAGCTACAAATAAATATCTTAACTCTGAATGTAAGCAGACGTTCTAAAAATAAAAGGAATGGAAGAAACAACAAAAGAACAGATTGGTAGTTTGTACTCATAAACCATAAGCTTTTCTAGCAAAGTTAAAGTGATTTTAAAATGTTCTAAGAAAAAGACTTCCAGTACTATCATTAAGCAATATATATTTTATTTATTGTTTATTGGCCACTTTTCCACTATTAGAGTTTTCAATAATATTTTAAGAAAAAGAATTTAATAGATAATTTTTTCCTTCAGACAATATGGATTTTTCTCTTATTTGCGAGAGCTGTTTGATGCACCTGATCTTGTAATGAGTTACCTTTGCTCCCAGTATCATATTCATGAAGTTCCTGTAGGAACTGAAAGGACCAGAGAAAGAATTGAACAGGTCAGACATTATTGAATCATTTCCAAAAAAATGTAATTTTGTCTGAAATTTAAGTAAGTATGCCATTTTTGTTATTCTTACCCATACATAAATTATCTTTGTATTTTACATTTTTAATATGATATAAAACAGTGACTGTTGATGAATATTTTATGACAAGAAAGATGTAGAATTAACCAGAGTAAATAAATACTTAATACCTGTAGATTAATTGAATAACGTTAGATCCTCAAAAGAGACACTTGACATTTTTACCTGATTCTGCCTTGCTTAATAAACATATATTCATACATTGTATTAATGGTTTAATCACTTTAAAATTGGTTATTTTTCTAATTTTACCTTAGAATGGGTTGACTGGGGTATTATTGTTGTTAGTTGTTGTTATGTGCCATCGAGTCGGCCCCGACTCATAGCGACCCCTTCTTGGGTTTCCGAGGCAGTATCACTACGGAAGTAGATTGCCCCGACTGGGGTATAGAGCTGTTAAAATTGTCTTATATACCTCATCCAGTCTGTCCTTTTATTCTACATTATTCAGTGTTTCTGAATACCAGATTATACCCTATAAATTAAGTATGCTTAAATATGTTGTATCTCAGTACTTAGACTATAAATATAAACCTTTGGGAAGAAATGAACCAGAAGAGTGCTGTTTAAGAAACTTGAGATTGGAAAAGCCTACAGAAATTGATACAGTGATATAATGGTGTTAGAGTGTAGTTTAGGTTTTAAAACTCTATACAAGCTGCTGACAGAAAAGATCTCAAGGAAAAGAAATCTTTGAAATTTTTTATTTGGAATTCTATGAAAAATAGTTTTTCTAGTAAGTGTTTTCCCAAATATACAGGAACTAAATGTAAGCTCATGTATGTGAACAATATAACTGAAGGGACAAGAATATAACTAACTTACCCAGGGTAACACAGTTGAGTCTACAGGGCATGTAGCTCCTGTTATCCGTTATTTAGATGTAACAAAACTCCAAAAAATACACACACTTGGGAGAAATTGTATAGTGAAGTGAAGGAACAGTAGACTTTTCTAGTTGCTTTGTTTTTTTCCTAAGTCTCTCTTACTTAATGTTATTTTCTAAAATAGTAACCGCAAGTGTATTAGCTACCATGATAAAGTTGTTTGTTGGTTAAGTTTTTTTAAAACAAAACAGTTATATCTAATAAATTTTAATCTTCAAAAATGCACTTGATTTTTTTTCAACTCTTTCATTCTTTAAAATATGTATCATAATTATTGGTTATGCACTAATGCTGTTGTTTGACATTATAGGTAATACAAGAAACCCAGTTAAAACAAATTTATACAGCCGAAGAAAAGTATGTGGTGAAAACATCTTTTTATTCAAACAAAGTTATTTCTAGTAACACGTCTCTAAAAGTAGCCCAGTTTCTCACAGTCACTGTAGATCTAGAGCAAAGAAGACATTTAGAAGAACAGCTGAAGGTTGGTTAATTTGAATATTAACTAGATTTATAATATTTTAACTGGAAGTCATTTAAAATATGTATTAACAATTTGAATCTTCCATAGGAAATTAATAGAAAAGTGCATGCAGTGGACGTAGGATTGATTGCCTTACGTGAGACAAACAAACATCTAGAACACAAAGACAATGAACTTAGACAAAAGAAGAAGGAGCTTCTTGAAAGAAAAACCAAGAAAAGACAACTGGAACAAAAAATTAGTTCCAAGCTAGGAAGGTATCTTTCAGCCTATTTGGGGAAGAGAACAGAGTTGCATAGAGATAATACTCATTATCCCCTTAACTAACAACACAGTTCTCACAACCATGTTTTGTAATAATTACTCACTAAAGCTTTATTCCTACTATGTAAAACAAAACTTTAATCCCCAGGACAAAGAGCAGTGAATCTTAAATGTTTTGAGGTTTTTTTCTGTTCTCTTGATCGGTTTTATTGTCCCTCAAAAAAAACAATACAAACTCACTGCCGTCTAGTTGATTGCGACTCATAGCAACCCCTCCTTGGGTTTCTGAGGGTGTCTACAGAAGTAGATTGCCCAATCTTCCTTCTGATTATGGTCCCCTTGTTGTTAATGTTGTTGTTATCCCAACTCATAGCCCTTTAAATAGTTCAAAATTATTAAAGGCCCTGAAGTTTTGTGTATATGGGTTCTGTTGATGTTTACCCCATTAGAAATTAATGAAAAATGTTGAAAATACATATTTTAAAACAATAGTAAACCCAGTTGTGTTTTTTATTGTTTTTTTTTTTAATGAAAAATAACATTTCCAAAACAAAAATAAATTTGCTAAGGAGAGTGACATTGTTTTACATTTCTGCAGTTTTTTTAAATGTCTGGTTTAAATGAAAACAGGTGGATTCTCATCTCTGCTTCCATATTTAGTCTGTTCTGAGATATTGTTTTGGTTGTGAATTATATGAAGAAAATCTGACATCAGATGGGTAGTTGGAGAAGGAAAGAGTATTTTGATAGTTTATTTAGATAATTGTGTATGTTTTTTAATACTACTTCAAAACTTGCCAAAGTGTGATTTCTTAAACATTAATTACAATGTGGAATCTAAAACCATACCAGGACCTTGTATATACTATTTCATTAAAATCCATTATATTGTAAATGGGTCTTTTACCCATGAATGATTTATTACATCATGCATGCACTGATCATGTGGAAAACATTGGTTCACCAAACCACATAGATACTTTATTTGTTGACACATTTCAAAAAAAAAAAAAAAAAAACCTCATTGATAATAATCTTATAAGAATAGCCTTTTTAAGTGTTAGTTCATTTAGACATTTAGTTCTATAGACTGATAACTTCTCTGAGCTTTGGGTTTTGCTTCACACGAGTAGAGACCAGTCATTGTACCTTGGATGGCTGCTTGCATTTAAGACCCCAGATGTTACTCCCTGGACTAGGATGTAGAACATAAACTTTATGGACTGTATTAATGCCAGTTGACCAAGCTGCCCCATGAGACTGTGCCCCTAAGTCTTCAAACCAAGAAAACTAATCCTGTAAGGTGATTGGTTATGTCGAACAAGTTTCAGTTTCTTTTACCCTTATTGCTTTATTATATGTATAAATACATATACATATAAGTTTATATACATACGTGTATATATATACACACACACACAAGTGCATATTTTGGTTATTGTTGCAAAATAATATATAACATTTAACTAAACACCTTGTCTATGTGTGTGTCAAAACAAAAACCAGACTCACCACCATCGAATCAATTCTGACTCATAGCGATCCCCATTGGGTTTCCAAGGCAATAAATCTTTACGGACGTACATTGCCCCATCTTCTTTCTGTGGAGTGGCTGGTGGATTTGAACCACCAACCTTCTGATTAACAGTCACATGCTTTAGGCACTATGTCATCAGAGCTCCTGTGTACAGCCTAGTGACATCAGTTACCTTGGTTAAGTTGTGCACGCTTCTCCCATATTCAGTGCTACCGCTTCTATCACCATAAGTAAAGAGTGAAAGTTGACTAGAATGAATCTCCGTCTTCATCCCCCACCCCTAGTAGCCACCTGTGGACCTTGATCTCAGTATATATAGCTGTTGACATTTTATATCACACAATATTTGTCCTTTTGTGATTTTCACTGAGCATAATGTCCTTTAGGTTCATCTACGTTCCAAGATGTTTTAGAAGTTTATCATTCTACACCATTAGTACTAGAATTACCTAGACTCTGCCAAACACATAGGTAGTATATGTCAACAAGTACTTTTTGATATTGACTGGTTGCATAAAATAAGTGCTTAATATAGGAGCTAGCTTTTGTACATGTAAGTAGCATTTCTAAATAGCCCATAAAACTCCAAATGGCCTAAGGGTTCTGACTCAGTCCTTGTGTGTAATTCTGAGTTCTACATCATTTTCTGTTGCTCACAGTTTAAAGCTGATGGAACAAGATACTTGCAATCTTGAAGAGGAAGAGCGAAAAGCAAGTACCAAAATCAAAGAAATAAACATCCAAAAAGCAAAACTTGCTACTGAATTAACAAAGCTAATAAAGGTAAGACATTTTAATTTTTTATTTACATATTTAATATAAGGTAAATTAGACAAGATAGTAAAGTTTTTAGAGAGCTTTGTTGAATGGGAGTAGTCTCAAATATGTTTTTTTTTTTTACATATAAACAAGAAATTTCTCAACAGTTTCAGCTTATTTCATTGCTTTACATTTCCTGTTGTAGTTTAATAAATAAGTTAAAAGCACCCATTAAGCTAAATAATTTTATTCTAGAGGACCCAGTATACACAGGAAAACACCTTCTAAAAAATTCTCGTGTAAGAAATAGTTACAGAAAGAACTAATTAAAAAGGAGGTGTCAGTGACAGTAGAAAAATGTTATTTTTGCATGGTTCATAATTTTGTTCAAAAACTATATTATTTTTCTTAGTTCTAAAGTATATGTAGCATAAAAACTAAATTCTTGGGGGTTTTGTTCCTAGATTTGTACTTCTTTACATATTCAAAAAGTAGATTTAATTCTTCAAAATACTACATTTATCTCTGAGAAGAACAAATTACAATCAGATTACGCGGCTACATCTTCACAACTACGTGTCGTAGAGGTGAGAGTTTTATTTTTATTTTGGGATTCTGGGCTCAGACCAGTTTGAAAGCTTATGTTATGTGTCATCACTTGCAGTGTGCACTTTGTTGTGTACTATTTAATATACAAATTTAATATACAAACTTAATGCATCTGCTGATGAGGAAACAGTACTTCAGCCATTTTATTTTGTGCATTTCATCGTACTTAATTGAGGGGTACGGGTAGTAATAATCAAAGCCCTTTAAATAAATAATCAAAGAAATCAGAGTATCTAATAAAGTTCCTGAAAACCATCATCTTTCTTAATCCAGATAAATTCCAGTCATTACTATTACCCAGCAGCAACTAGTAGCTTTAATTATAGTGTGTATCTCCTATAAAGTAAATGGCAGGTGAGTTCTAAGTAACACTTTTAAGATTAGTCTTAGTGTATAATTTTGGAGAATTAATCTTTTGTAAATGTCTGTGAAATGATGATGAACATTGAAATCTGGGGGGGGGGGGATTGTGATATACAAAATTAACTTAAAACTTAAAGAAGAGCTGGCAACAAAACAGTAGTAATGGTGGCATAGTTTTTAGTTTCCCCAAATCTTTTCCCAAAAATATAAGAGGATAACATAAAACCATCACCACAAGACCATGGACAACATACGTAACAAAACTAAGTTGTAGTTAATTGTGGTGGTTGGACAACATGATGAACAAATGTAACATTGTCACTGAACTGTACATGTGAAGATTATTGACATGGCAAATGTTACCTATATATTCACTAAAATTTAAAAAAAAAAAATGAGGCTTAAGAGATGTGAACAAAATGAAAACAAAAACCTAGGTTTAAGGGTATCCTTATAAACTGTAAAATACAAGTGGTTAGAGTCAAATCAAATCAGCAACAGCATCAAGACCTGCATGGTATCAGTAACTGTGTGGTAAAAAGCAGGGGGAAGACTTAAAGAACCTCCAAATCAAATCACCAACAGGTACTTGCTCTAAAGGGAGGAGACCTTATTAGTTCTAGAAAGCTTAACAGACCAACGTGAGAGCAGCTGAAACTGGGAGAGGACTTTGTAGATTATAGGAAGGATGGAAAGTTAGTGCTGGGGTAGTTTGGGCTCTGTGAATTCTCAAACCAACCAACATTCCTTTGCAGTAAAAAGCCACTTACTGAGGAGAACTAGAGCTACATGGTAGACAAAAGACACAGTAAAATATGTACTATATGGTTATAAGTCTGAGAGTGTAGCTAAAGTACAGCTCTCTGAAAATGGGAAAGGGAAATAGTATACGTAAAAAAAGAATATACTTGCTGATTATCCTATAGCTACAATCAGGAAATAGAAGAATAGTACATCACATTAGATGCTTTGGGAAAGGAAGATGAAGGAGATGTTACTAGTCAATTTCAATATTGTTTATACTAGGAGGCAATAGACAGTGTACCCAAAAAAAGATATTAAAGATGTTGTTGTTGTTGTTGTTATGTGCCGTCGAGTCGGCCCCAACTCACAGCGACCCCTCCTTGGGTTTCTGAGGCAGTATCACTACGGAAGTAGGATTACCCAACCTTCCTTCCGAGGAGTGGCTGCTGGGTTTGAACCTTTGAACCTCCAGCCGTCTGGTTAGCAGGCAAGTGTCTTAGCCACTATGCTACCAGAGCTCCCATTAAAGATGTAAGGATATTAAATAGACATATTCACAAAGATAACTGTTAGAATAAATATAGAAGCTTTTCTGATTACCAGAAAATGTACAAAGAAAAGGAAAGAAACAATAAAACCAATTACATATCTAAATATTGCATATTTTATATACATATATATTTATGACATAAAACAATGACAGAACTAATGCTAAACTTTAATCATAATCTTGTCATTAAATATAAAAAGGAAAAGATTACCAGAGTAGATTCCAATATTGCACTGTATTCAAGAGGAATATCTAGAAGAAAATATTCTGTAAGGTAAAAAATGAAAGGACGTCATCCTTTTTGATGTGATGGAAATGTTTTAAAATTGGGCTGTGGTGATGTTTACCCAGTTCTGTAAATTTGCAAGCAATCATTAAATCGTAGCCTTAAAGTGAGTGAATTTTATGGCATATAAATTATAACTCAGTAAAGCTACTAGATAAATAAATGTTTGAACAAAGGCATACCAGGCAAATAGATAGAAAAAGCTTGAATATCTCAGTGTCCTGCTGTAGAGTAATATGCAGTATGTGTTTGATAAGGAAGGGAAGGAGAGAAAAATGTGTGTAATATGTTACTGTTTTCCAAGAAAGAGTTGGGATAAGTAATAGGTAGGTTTCTATGTTTGCTTATAGTTTTAGAAATTATAACAATAAGCTATATAATCCTCTTTTTTTTTTTTTTTTATTACCCAAGGCCGAGGGCAAGGACAGGGTTAGAAGCTACATTCATCTAGACATTTTTTTCTCCCTACTTTGACCTATGTAACTTTTGTCAGCACAACAAAACTAAATTTTTTTAGAAAAGACAGACTTAAATTGCAAAAGCAAAATGAAACAAGTGAATCTGTATTTTGAATTAGCAGCTTAACCTCACTGAGAAAAATCATTATTCCAAGAGGCCCTTATTCTAAGGACAGAACAAATTGCAAAAAAAAAAAATCTCATACTGTTTTCAGTAATCATATTGCTAATAGTATTTGTAGTGATATTCTGAAACTGTAATAAGCTAAAGCAAATAATTATGTTAATGTCATTAGAACTAGAATTTTCAACATAAGAGAAAAAAATTTCAAGTATATAACAAATAATAAAAACCTTGAAATATAACATTTGAATTGGAAATACCAGAAGAACTCTTTTTCTCCAAAATAAAAAATATATACAGTTCCTAGATCTATTTACTGAGAAGACAGGTCTCTAAACACCATTTTTCACTAAAATGTCTTATTGGAGAAATGGCTGATTCCAGGTCTAAGGAAAAAAATGAACAGTTAAACCTACGAGAGCCAGAACTCAAGGGGACTGCCTTGTTTTTCTGGGTCTCACAAGTTTTCCTGCTTTGACAGGGAGCAGTCTTACCACTTTTCTTTAACTATCTCTTGGTGGAAAATATTTGAGTTTTCCTTCTCTGACAGGCTTCCACCTTACACAGGTGTTGGCTTTCGTAGGTTTTACTGTATAAGCTTGGGTCATCTTGTCACACCAGAAAGTGAAGAGGTTATTAAATACTACTTGGTTATTAAGTACTCAGGAGCCAACTTGGAGAATCTCTTCCTGGCCAAAGATAAGCCAATAGTGGATTGAAATACATCAAAAAGGTCTAAATCCATGGATTTATAATGATAACTGAAAAAAAGTGTATGTGCATGCGCATGCATGCATGCGTGTCGATCACTTGTGAAAAATGGTAAATAAGTCTAGCATTTATCCTGCTTTTCCTGTTTGAGCTGTTTAGTGTAAACAAATAAATGATGAGGGGAAATTTCTTCTTTGTAGAAGTATATGGTAGTATTAGAATTTCACCACTTTGCAACTACTAATGAGTCAGTGGATCACATTAGTTGCTAAAAGACAACCAGATATTTATGTGCATCCTGATGGATGTACACAACACCACCTGTGAAATATTTTTACCAAAAAAATCTAATTTCAATCTGATTAAGCCTCCTATAACAGAGTTTTTCAACCTCAGCACTATTGACGTTTTGTACTGGGTACTTCTTTTTATGAGGGGCTGTCCTGTCCTGTGCATTATAGAATGTTTACCAGCAGCTCTAGCACCCCCAGACAAAGACATTACAAGAAAAGAAGACTACAGAATCCATCTCTCGTGTTGTTAGGTTCCATCAGGGCAGCTCCAGCTCACAGCAGCCCGGCGTACAACGGACTGAAACACTGCGTGGTCGTGTGCCATCCTCATAATCCTTGCTCTACTTGAGCCCATCATTGTAGCCACTGTGTCAATCCATTTTCTTGAGTATCTTCTGCTTTTTTGCTCACCCTCCACTTTACCAGGCATGGTGTTCTTCTCCAGGAAATGGTCCATGTATCTCTCATGATCCTAATAAAACATCTTAAGAAAATGTTAGTGAATCAAATCCATCCTTACCACGTAGGTTTTCCTCATTTTCACTGTCCCTCTACTTCACCAAACAGGATGTCCTTTTCTAGCCATTGGTCTTTCCTGATGATGTGTCCAAAGTAAACAAATGAAGTCTCACCATCCTCTCTTCTAAGGAACATACTGGTTGTATTTCTTCTAAGACTGATTTGTTCATTGTTCTGGTAGTCCACAGTATATTTAGTATTCTTTACCAACACCACAATCTGAAGACCTTAGTTCTTCTGTTTACCTTTGTCATTGTGCAGCTTTCACATGCATATGAGGCAGTTGAAAGGTCATGGCTTAGATCAGGTGCACTTTACTCATCGAAGTGACATCTTTGTTTTTTGTTTTTTTTTTTAACACTTTGAAGAGGTCTTTTGTAGTAGATTTGCCCAATGCAGTACTGTTTGACTTCTTTCCTGCTGCTTCCGTGGGAAGTAATTGTTGATCCAAGTAGAATGAAATCCTTAACAACCTTTGTTTCTTCACCAGTTATCATGATATTGTTTATTGGCTCATTTCATTTTTGTTTTCTTAAGCACATGAAAAAAATATTTAACCTTATTAGCCAGTGTTGTTGTTAAGTGTCAAGTCGATTTTCAGCTCACAGTGATCCCATGTGACAGAGTACAACTGCTCCGTAGTTTTCTGGGCTGTAATCTTTATAGGAGCAGAATGCAAGATCTTTCTTTTGTGGAGCCACTGGATGGGTTCAAACTGCCAGTGATTTCTTTAGCAGCCAAGTGCTTAACTGTTACACCATGAGACCTCTCTATTAGTCAGTAACCAAAACCAAACACACTGCCATCAAATCTAGTCCAACTCATAGTGACCTTGTTGGACAGAGAACTGCCCCACAGGGTTTCCAAGGCTGTAAATCTTTTTTTTTTTTTTTTCCCCAATGTCCAAGTTTTTTTGTTCGTCCATTTCTTGCATTTGAAATATTCTTCAAGGACATCCTTGGCCTGAGATTCTTTGCCATAGTCAAAAACCACACAACTGCAACCAATCATTTTCCGTGTTGTTCCCTCTCTTGTCAGTTTTGCAGAGGCCTACCCACTCCTCTATTTCTTGTTGTCATCAACCTTAATCAGATTGATTTGTTGTTCAGCAAAAAGGACCTCTACTAACTTGACATACATAGGCCCATCACAGTTGGATGAAATCATGCAAAGATGGGCTTGGTGCCTGTTTGTGTGCTCAAACACTGCAGCACTGCCAAGGTACAAATGGTACAAAGACCTGCTGATGTATATCTAGCAAGGTGGGTGCTGTTTCCACTGGATTCAACTGGCCAATCTACACCATATTGTTTAGGGCTCTGGCAGCTTCGTGAATTCCATGTGCTAGACCGTCATGAATCAGGGCGGTCTTCAACACCTCTTGTAAAGCAGTATTAATGTGTATTACACCTCCAGAAGCAATGTCTTCCTTGATCATGGTGGTGGGTTACGAGTGGGACCAAATTTTAAATGCACCCGAGCCTCCATCCAACTTGGTGGCGACAGGGAGAGAGCCAAGGCTATAAATCTTTACAGAAGTGGACTGTCATACCTTTCTGTAGTGGAACAGCTACTGGGTTCAGACTATCAGCCTTCTGGTTAGCAGACGAATGCTTTAACTGTTGTGCCACCAGAGCTCCTTATTTGTCAGTAAACCACAAAAAAACAAACTCACTGTCGTTGAGTCAAACCCAACTCATAGTGACCCCTCCTTGGGTTTCCAAGACAGTATCTCACTACCAAAGTAGATTGCCCAGCCTTCCTTTGGCATAGTGCCTAAGGCATTTGACTGCTAACCACAAAGCTTGGAGGTTCAAACACACCGGCCACTCCTTAAAAGGAAGATTGGGTGATATACTTCTGTAGTAATACCACCTCAGAAACCCAAGGAGGGGTTGCTGTGAGTTGGATCCGACTCAGTGGCAGTGAGTTTTTTTATTAGTCAAATGGGGAAATGCAAATTAAAGCCATGATGGAATTCTACTGTAGACCCACTATAAGGACTAAACATTTTTTAAAAAGACTGATCATACCAAAGTATTGCTGAAGATATAGAGCAACTGGAACTCACACTGCTAGTGAGAATTTAAAGTGTACAACCACTTTAGGAAATAACTTCATAGTTTCTTAAGTGCTAAACATAGACCTGTCATACAGTCCAGCCATTACTCCTAGTATGCACCCAGGATAAATAAAAACATATGTTCATGTGTGTAGAAGCTTTCTTTGTAATAGCTATAATCTGGAAACAACCTCAATATTTTAACAGTTGAATGGATAAACAGCTTGTGGTATATCCACACAACAGGATACATTTTTAGCCATAAAAATGAATTAAATATTTACTGATAACAGGCAACAACATAAATGAATCTCAAAGTCATTATCCTGAGTGGGAAATGTCAGACAAAACAGAGTACACATTACATGATTTGATTTATGTAAATAAAATTCAGAATGCTTAGTTAGCAGAAAGTAAATCATTGGCTATGTGAGGAAGACATAGCTCAGTGGATTCCAGAGGAGTACAAAGAGCCACAAAGAAACTTTGGAGAGTGATAAATATGTTCATTTATTTTGATTGTGGTGATTTCACTAGTATATGTATTTGTCAGAACTCAGCAAGTTACATACCGTACTGTCTTGTCAGTGAAGGCAAACATGGGTATACAGGTGGATAGACGGGTGGACAGGCTAAACTATTAGGTATGTCTATGAAGTGGGGAGTGTACCCAAGACCATGTATAGGGTTGGCAGACAATGGTCCTATTAGTTTATTTGTATGATCTGAATTCCCTGGTATATAGCAGAGCTGACAAGGGACAAGGTTGTAGTCACTTCTTGGTCACAGCCAGCTACCCAGAGTGACCGAGTAGTTGAACCTGTGGGCTTGGGATCATAGTCACAGGGGACGTCAAGCTCAATTGGCATAACATACTACACAAAACATTGTTCCACCTCCTACTTTGGCGAATAGTGACTGGGATCTTAAAAGCTTACAAGCAGCCATTTAGATGCAACGATGGATCTCTCCTCATCCAGAGCAAAGAAGAATGAAGAAAACCAAAAATTCATGTAAACAATTAGTCCTAGCGACTTGTATACCATGCAATCTGCAGTCTATACAACTATGAGACAGAAGAACTAGATGGTGCCAGGCTACCACTGTCATCCCTTCGGAGGGGCATCTGTGTAGGAGATCCTGGATAGAGAGGGAGAACAATGTGGAACAAAACTCAAAATCATTTGGAGAAAAAAAGGGGAGGACCAGGTTTACTGGTCTGATAGAGCCTGGTGGAACCACTGAGACTGTGGCTTCCAGCCAAACAAAAGACAGGCCTAGGAGTTGAACATTTATCTGAGGTAGATAAACTCCTTGGAGAGAACAGTTGTGGGAGAAAGAAGGGCTGTTTATGCATAGGGAGACAGTTCAGGGGGCAGGAGTGAATGGAGGGATGGACACAGGGAAGAGGTAACTGTTGCATTGTGGTCAATGTCATGAGACAGTGTATGTGAACTGCTGTATGGAAAGTGAATTTGCTCTGTAACTTTCACCCAAATCACCCAAATCATCATCCTAATAATAATAAAAAAAACTCAGCAAGTTGTACTCTTTAAAAAATTTATGCAGTGTCTTTATTCCTCAACTTTTTAAGTATGAAATTAAAACATATACGAATATGAAGAGTAATATAACAGACATCTATTATATGTCTCTTAACTCTGTTTAACAAATGTTGAAATTTTACCATATTTGTTGCAAATTTTTAATTTTTCAGATACATGAAGTCTCCTTTTCTCTCTCTACTCATTCTTGTACTTCCCTAGAGGTTACTACTCTCAGTGATAGCTGTCTGGGTAGAGCAGCAGTTCCATTATTCTGAAGCTAGCTTCCTCACTGGCTGCCTCAAAAACCTTACGGCTAGATACAAAGAAAACTAAATTCACTGCCAGCAAGTCGATTCCAACTCATAATGACCCCCTTTGGGTTTCTGAGGCAGTAAATCTTTATGGAAATGGATTGCCCCATCTTCCTTCCAGGGAGCAGCTGGTGAGTTTGAACTGCCACCCTTCTGGTTAACAGTCAAATGCCTTAGGCACTCCACCACGAGAGCTCCTTTATGGCTAGATATAGAAGATAAGAATTTTGCTAGCAGGTAGACGGCTTAGCATGCAGTCATATATGTTGTTGTTACGTGCCGTGCAGTCAGACCCGACTCATAGCGACCCCTCCTTGGGTTTCCGAGGTAGTATCACTACGGAAGTAGATTGCCCAGCCTTCCTTCCGAGGAGTGGCTAGTGGGTTTGAACCTCCAGCCTTCTGGTTAGCAGTCAAGTGCCTTAGGCAATACGCTACCAGAGGTCCGCAGGCATAAATACTTGTAACAAAAGTGAGCTGAAGATCAAGTTTAATATGGTAGGATTGGTTAGTTCAATTTGAGCAAGACAAAGGCTTAGAAGACAGGAGAATTCTCTCTTTCCATCCCCTTCCTGCCTCCATAAAAAAAGAGGGAGGTGAAAGGAAAAGAAGGCAGCAGGGGTGTAACATTGGTCATTCTGAAGGTGTGGAAGGACGGGATCTAGCAAAAAGATACCAAACGTAGGACTGAACCAGAGATTGAGTGTGCACTGCTGGATGTAAAACTAGCTACTGAAGGAGAGCTTCATCAGTGCTTATTTCATGAGAGTGTGGTTCTAATAGTAAATAATTATAGAGCCCGTGCTAAAGTTGCCTCATTGATAAAGCCTGTGAACCCAGTTCAGCATACGAAATGGTATTTTGGAAGAGATTTCATGAGAAACTTGCTTGACCTGTCATACAGATACTATATGGAGCTTTAAGTCCATTCACACAGAATAATACCTGCTCCTGTTATATTTTTTAAAACAAGCATTTAAGACAACTTAAGAAAATTAGGGGTTTATGCCATGCTTACAGAACTATCATCAAATCATGATGGCTTGGAGTAAAATCTCTCCCAAAACTTTGACCCATTCTTGATATAATGAGAGAAACTCTTCCAACAGCTTTAGTTTAAAAGATGCACTAAGATTAGCTGTAAACTGGTAGGGTGCTCTCTATGTTACAAGTACTAGAATTGCTATTTTGAGTGTAGCTGACTGCTGTTTCTGGAGAATAGGAAAGTTTTTTGGGAAGAGGTTTTGTTTTCAGTCTTTGAATCACTAATTTTTTACAAAGATGGCCACATTACACAGACCAAAGAAATAATCTCTGATTAGCTGCTTATCCCTCTACATTTTGTTTCCTGGAAATAATACCCACTCAGTTTTCAGACTCTTAGCCAACTTCCCTGTGTCTGAAATTAAGTATTATCCCACATTTAAAGTTACAGCTCCTGTAATTAAATACTCATTTTTGTTATCCAGAAAGCATAAATAGCCAAAGTAACTTGTAGATTGTTTTGATTACATTTTAATAATGTTAATTTTCCAACTCATTTGCTTAGTTTTAAAGTGGAGAAGTTTTACTTAGCATGTTTTAGTTCTCTTTCTTTCTTTGCTCCTTCTTTTTCCTGACCATTGCCTCAATTCAGACATTAACACATCCTGAATGTCTCTACAGGCTGTCCCCAAATGATGAGTTCCATTCCTAAGCCTGTCTTTAAGTCAAATTTGTACATAAGTTGGTACAGTTAGGTATGCTTCATAACTAACATCAGTTAGTCAAGTGTTTTAGTATATAGTGTACCTTTCTATGCATTAAAAAAAAGCTTCTACATAAATGAAACATTATTAACATAATGTATCCATTGCTCACTTATTGCCACCACTCATCTGCCACAGTCAATACCCATGGAAGCAGCACTCAGGGAATCAAATGTCATATTGTACTGGGCATATCTGCAAAAGACTTCTTTAAAGTGTCAAAGAGCAAAAATGTCACTAAGGTGTGCCTGACCCAAGCATGGGATTTTCAGTTGCTTCATATACACATGAAAAGCTGGACAATGACTAAGAAGACTGAAAAGAGTTGATGCCATTGGATTGTAGTGTTAGCAAAGAACACTGGAAATGCCTCTGGACTGCCTGAGGAGCAAGCCAATCTGTCTTGGAAGAAGTGCAGCTGGAATGCTCCTTGGAAGCGAGAATGGCCAGACTTTGTCTCACCTGCTTTGGTCATGTTGTCAGAAGGGACCATTCCCTGGAGAAGGATGTCATGCTTGGTAAAGTAGAGGGTCTGTGAAAAAGGGGAAGACCCTCAACAAGGTGGACACAGTGGCTGCAACAGTGGTTTCAAGCACAGCAAGGACTGTGAGGAGAGTGTAGGACCAGGCAGTGCTCATTCTGTTGTACACAAGGTTGTTATGAGTTGGAGCCAGCTCAACATCACCTAACAATAACTCACTTGTTGCCATGGTTAGGTACCAAAGACCAGGTCAATATGTGAAAATGGAGGATGATCACATCATTGCATTA